CTCACAGCATCTGGATGATGCCCTGCAGCCCCTCACAGGATCTGGATGATGCCCTGCAGCCCCTCACAGGATGTGGATGCCCAGCAGCCCCTCACAGCATCTGGATGATGCCCTGCAGCCCCTCACAGGATCTGGATGATGCCCTGCAGCCCCTCACAGGATGTGGATGCCCAGCAGCCCCTCAGAGGATCTGGATGATGCCCTGCAGCCCCTCACAGCATCTGGATGATGCCCTGCAGCCCCTCACAGGATGTGGATGCCCAGCAGCCCCTCAGAGGATGTGGATGATGCCCAGCAGCCCCTCACAGCATCTGGATGATGCCCTGCAGCCCCTCACAGGATCTGGATGATGCCCTGCAGCCCCTCACAGGATCTGGATGATGCCCAGCAGCCCCTCAGAGGATGTGGATGATGCCCAGCAGCCCCTCACAGGATGTGGATGCCCAGCTCCTCAGCTGTTTTCTGCAGCCTGTCCATGACGTTCTCCTCCAGCTCCAGGGCTGCTGGGCCCTGCTGCTCCGAGGCTGTGCTGGCCAGCACGTAATAGACAGTCTCACTCTGGCCCTGCTCGTTGGTCCTGCTCACCACACGGATGATGGGGCTGCTGCTGCTGCTGGCTCCTTGCTCTGAGGAGGAGGAGGAGGAGGAGGAGGCAGTTGCTGGGAAGGGGCTGGGCCGTGCTGGCTCAGGGCTGGGAGCAGAGCACAGGGCAGGGGGCACAGGCAGCTCTGATGTGCTGTTCTCTGCCGGGGCAGGGTTTGCTGGAGGCTCCAGAAGGATGCCCTGCAGGCTGCCCTCGCCCTCAGGCAGCACCATGCACTCGCTGGAGCCATCCAGAGCCTCCCCACGCTTCTCCCTGTCCTTGAGCAGCTGCTCTGTGAGCTCCACACTCTCGTAGCGCACCAGCTGCAGCCTCATGTAGCCGTCCTCGTGCTCCCTGTACCTGGGCACAGACAGAAGGGGTCAGCCTGGCACATTCCCCTTCCCAGGAGATGGGCAACAGCCAGGGAAAGGGCACAACAGCCAAGGTTCAATCCCTGTGCTACACAGATGGCATTTCAGCCTCTAGTCCCAAAGGCAAACCCATGTGGCAGCTTCTGAGCTCTGGGCCAGGCTCAATGCCCTCCCCAGCCCTCCTCCTTCCACCACTCTGCTTCACTGGGACCATTTCAAGTCCATCCTCTTCCCCTCCCAGCTTTCAGGCTCTGGAAACCCTCTGGAGTTTCCTACAGGGGGTGCAGCAGAGGTTTCTGTCCCAGGACCGATCTCTCTAGAGGGGGACACCCTGCCAAGCTCAGAAATGTCCCAGCAGAGGGAGCAGTGACGGCAGCACTGCCCTGGAGCTGCCAGCCAGCACTGCTCAGATCCCACTCAACATTTCCTGCCCTCCCAGCCACTGGGAAAGGGTCCTGAACAATTTACAGAGCCCAGGCACTGCCAGCACCACGCAGGATGCACTGAGGAGCTGAAGGTGAGCAGTACCTGAAGCGAGGATGTCCTGAGGGCCATTTGAACTGGTGCTTCTTCCTGAGGTGCACAGTGAGGTTGTTCCCCCGTGTGAAGCACTTGTCACACACGTGGCACTTGTACCTGGGCTCGGAGTCACCCTGAGGGACACAGAGCCATGTCAGCACCCGCAGGTGCAGGGAAGGAGACAGAAAGCTCCCAGAGAAGACTGACAGGGGCATCACAAGCAATGCAAGCTCTGCTGCCTTCCCACCTCGTGGACCTTCCTGTAGTGCAGTTTGATGGAGCAGAGGGAGCGAGCAGAGAAGCTGCAGGCCTCGAACTCGCAGCGATACGCCGGCTCCTTGCTGTGCGTGTCCAGGTGCTTCCGCAGGTCAATGAGGTTCTTGCAGCTGGAAGCACAAGGTGAGGGAACAGAGCTGCAGCACACACACACACACACACACAGAGGCCTCAGGGGGGTCTGGGGAGGGAGCCAGCCCTGGCCCTCACCTGTAGTCACAGTAGTCACACTTGAAGGGGCGCTCCTCGCTGTGGCGGAAGCGGATGTGGTTGCGCAGCGAGGAGGGCAGCGGGCAGGTCATGTCACACAGGGGGCACTTGTAGTGGTTCACTGGGCCAAAACCGGGCAGAAATGTCAGCCCAGAGCAGGGCAGGGCAGAGCACACAGCCCAGGGGCTGAGCTGGGAGCAGGGCCCCTCACTCACTCACTCACTCACTCACTCACTCACTCACTCACTCACTCACCGTGGTTCCTCATGTGGTCGCGGAGCAGCCTCTCGGTGGCGAACCTCTTGGAGCAGTGGGAGCACTGAAACCTCTGCTCTGCACCAGAGGGCACAGGGGGCATCAGGGCAGGGAGAACAGCACAGGGAGCAGTGAGGAGAGGGGTTCCCGAGGGCTGCAGTCCCTGGTGGGCAGCCCTGGGTCCCCACAGGAGGAACAGCCTCAATCCTGCCTCTGCCAGGAGACACTTCCCAGGGGACACAGACTAAAGGTGGGCCAGAGGAGGTTCAGGTGGGATTTCAGGAGGAATTTCTTCAGGGAAAGGATGGTCAGATGCTGGAGGGGAGTGCCAGGCCCCACCCCTCCACTTTGAGGCCCTGCCCACTCACTGCTGCTGCCCAGGGGGGTGGGAGAGTCCCTCCCCTCATGGCTGGCTCACACAGTGAGGATCAATCCCAGAGGTCTCTTCCCATCTCAGCGATTCTGGGGCTGCCACCACTCAGCAGCCAAGCACACCCTGCCCTCGGCTCACGGGGTTTAGGCACCTCCAGCAAGCCCACCAGCCCAGGGCAGCCCTCCCCAGCCCCTCCCTGCCCCAGGGCTTACGCTCCAGGGCGGTCTGGCGGCGGATGTGGTCGAAGAACTTGGTGTTGTTGGCAAACATGCCCCCGCAGGTGGGACAGGCCACCACCTTCTCCTGCGTGTGGCTGCGCAGGTGCTCCCGCAGCTTGCAGCGGCCCTTGAAGCTGCACTTGCAGTCTGGGGAGGGACAGCACAGCTGAGAGCCCTCCCAAGGGACACAGCCTCGCTCAACAGCAGCTTCTCCATCCTGTTTGGGCCAGCAAGGCTCCAAAATCCCCACAGAGCAGGGTGAGATCAGCACAGTGAGGTCACAAGTGGTTCTACCCCAGTACAACCAGTGTGGCTCCCCCAAGCAGTTCGGGCAATTGCAAATAGAAGAAATTAATGAAAAAAGTGAAAGTAAAAGAAATCAGCTGTAGCCTTTTCTTCAAGGTAGTGATTACACATGAATAGGAAGTTCTGAGCACTCAACTGGATTCCCTGAGGGAACTTCTGCAGGAATCTTTCATGGTCAAAACCATGGAATTTGAAAATCTATTTTTGAAGGCCAAGGGGCTTTTTGAAACCCTGTTTGCCATCCAGACCAAAGCTCTCTCACCAGTGTAGTACTGATTCTACCACACTACAACCAGTGTGGCCCCCCCAAGCAGTTAAAGCAATTGCTCAAACATGGGAGAAATTAAGGAAAAAAAAAAAAAAATCAAAATAAATCAGCTGAAGCCTTTTCTCCAAGGTAGTGATTACACATGAATAGGAAGTTCTGTACTGAACACTCAACTGAGGGAAATATTTCTGCAGGAATATTTCACGGAATTTGAAAA